ACAAGAAAGAGAGTCGAACGGCGATGCCGCCGCAGTCCGAGGCGGCAGTACCTTCGCAGGCGACGCCGCCAAAGTCCGAGGCCGCGTGGGCGTTGGATCGTGCGAAAAACAACATCTTGGACAAGCCTTTTGAAATCAAAAAAAAATATTTTGGGGAACATGCGAAATATCGGGGAGAAACGCCTCGGGGATGACATGATGAAAAAGGGCCATGTTGCGTTATGTGGTCGGGGTCATCCGTTTCCACATCACTGCTAAAAAATGCAACAGTAGAGATATTGGAGATTACTCGGGTGTTGGTACAGAAGAAACCGAAGGTTGAAGCCGAGATGTGCCCCGCGGATGTTACCCAGCGATGCTTAAAGGTTTGAGTCGGCGTATGAACTACCGCCTCACGTATCATCTACAGACTGCAGTGAGATAATCTGGGAGATTTAGGATTATCGAGCAGGCACGATTTGGGCTGCAGGCAAACCGGTTTGGGTGGGTGTATAGGGCAACCCTGAAGAGAAACCCGTGGCAAGAACGGCGACGATGCCACATCAACGAGCCACGCTTCATGGACGCCGCTATTTTCATGCGAAATACATATAAAAGGTTCACGCCGCAACCTCCTCATCCACGCCGCGTAGAAACACACGGCTGAGCGGGTGGAGGGAAGTCAAAAGTACTCACACCACAGACTTTTCTTCCCCTCGTCATTGAGAAACGAACGAAACAGGCGTGGCCCGGTCACGATTGAAGGTACCTCCGGTGTCACGACATGACCCCGATAGTCAGAATACGCGAACTAAAGGGATGATGATTACGACTAGCTTGTCTTGCCGAGAAACAAACAACACGAGGGATCGCCCTTCAAACAACAACACCTCGGGTGTTGGAACACAACCCCAAACAACAGGGTTGAATTTAATAGCTACATCAACGTTTCTCCCCATCTTGTAAAAAATCACGATTTTGATTGAAACCTTCCGCGAGACACAACTTCCAAAGGCCCGAGCAATACACTCAAAGAAACTTGAGGCTCGGGTTCCATTTTCTCAGGCTCCTCGCTATCGTCGCCAGGTTCGCTACCACATCGGCAATCTTCTCAAAACACACCCTAGGTTGGGGGGGGGGGGGGAAAAA